GGCCTGGGAGTCAGGGCCCAGCTCTGCTACCTATGTGCACTCTTGGACAAGTCACCTGGCTCCTCCTCAGTCAAACAAAGGCAGCCATCTTTAGAGTCTGTCATTATTATTCTCTGTAATCCTTTGCTTACACTAGACTCAGTGTGTTTCCTAGTCCCCCGACTCTTGGCAAACAGAGCTCTGTATCACCTTACAGAACATGCCATTCCCCATGAACAGCAGAGCTCCAGTCAGTGAGCCAGGTCCTTGGGTGAGGGGGGAGGTTGAGGGCTGGAAGCCATGGAGGGAACAACTGCTCCTCAGAGGTCAGCGCTCAGAGGGGAGGCCCTGTAGGACCCAGACACCAGGAATTCTATTTACATTTGCAATAGGCCAGAATCACATAGAAATATTAATAGCTTTGGGCCACAGTTCTAAATTGTAGAACAAAAAAATGCCATTTGCTTGGAACAGAACTTTGAGACTTTTCTGGAACTCTTCATTTGTTTGCACTCCTTTTATGGTAAAAACAAAACAAAAACCATTCCGGAATTCTTTTTCTTTTCTTTTTTTTTTTTTAGAGGTGAGAAGAAACAGGACAAAAAAACCTTTTCATATTTAATGTGAAAAAACATTTGAAAGGCCATGGACTTTCCTCATGAAGATTGTATATTCTTAACAGGAAAAATATGTACACACATATTTGTAGTGTGAGTCATCTCTCAGTATGTCCCATGGCTTCTCCTCTTAAATAATGAAGAACAGCCAGCATTAAACCTCGGGAGGTTACCAGCAGCTGTTGCAATTGGATCATTATTCCTGTTAGATCTTTGGGATATAGTGTCTGCACTGCACTGCAGGCTACACGCTATCTTTAGCTGACCCCAGCACCTGGAAGGGAAACTAGTCATGCGCCATCCCTCTACTTATGAGATTAAAGGTATTCTCTCTCTAATAGGAGCCTCAGAACAACCACATCCTTACAAGTGTTCCCAGAGGTGACTGTTTTAAATTCAAAAGGTGCTTCAAATTTGCATTATTTTTCCCAGTACAAGGAACTTAGGATGAAATATAGTGCAGCTTCCCACTGTGGCCTTGGATAATTCTGCCTGGCTGCAGGCCTTAGATGGGTTGAGTCCTGCCTTTATTTTCAGAAGAAACTGAACTTTGCCTCCGTAGCAGAGGCGTCACTGTTGTGGTGCCCTGGCTATAGGAGGGCTGTGATGTTGCTGGTGGCTGTGGCAGGCAGCTCTTGCCAGGAGCCTTGGTGATGGCAGGAGGAGTGACTCCCAGCCAGTGATGTTCTTGGGACATCTTGCTCAACCTCTATTTGCAGAGCCAGGCCTCTGCTGGGGGCTCTAATTTATAAGAAGCAGTCAAACATCCTTGGGAATATAAGGCTATGGGAAAAACATATTTCCAACTTCCTTCCCATGAGCTAAGTTAGTAGATGGAAGAAACAGTGAGTGGCTTGGGGCAGAGTGTAAGGGGGCTGGGCTGGGGGTGACACCTCCAGTGGCAGGAACCACAGATGTTTGGCTTGCCTTCTAGGAGGGTGTGTCTCGTGCACTCAGGTCTGAGATGGGCAGGTTTGGGACAGAGTTGAATTTCTCAGGATTGTGGAAGAGTCAAAGCTGAATTTCCCACCAAATGTCAAGGATCAATATTGGACAAGCCATGCAAGGGTTGGCTTGGGACTGCAGCTCAAGTAAATGCTTCACTTGACTGAGGGGCAGATCTTTAAAATATCCTAACTTTGCTGGATGTACAACCAGCTCAGCTGTGGAGGTGGGAGAGGGTGGGAGAAATTATGTGGATTCTAGTCCAAAGTAGCTTCCATTATCTTTCTCTGTTTTTCTTGGCTATGTATGAAATAGCAGACACATTTTGTTTTAGGTTTTTGTTAACATTTGCACCCAGTGCCACTGTTGGACTAGTTTGGAGGGCAGTGTAAGACGTGTCACCTGGCAGGGACTAACTTCCACAGGTGATGCAGGCAGGTCCAGTGCTCGGCAGTGCTCAGACCCCCTTCCTCACCTCAGGAGTCCAGGCTGTGCTGTGTTGGTGGCTTCTGCACCTTGACATACACTTTGGTTGGAACAACTGCATGTGACTGGCCTCATGTCATGTCAGAGGACATCTATGTAGTTGTATGGGAGGTTCCAGTGTTAAAAAGTCACAGAAGTCTGCTTCATGGGAAGCACCAAAGGCACAGGTTCCAAGCCCAGCCCAGCCATGTTATGAGAGGGTCAGTGTGTCTGAGACAGCATGGGTGGGGGCAGTGGAGAACGGGGGGAATGAGGTCTGAGAGGCAGTGGGGAGGCCGGGTCCTGTAGGGCCTCAGGGGCCGTGAGGACTGAGTGAGAGGAGAACTGTTGGAGGAGGGCAGGGGAGGGTGTTTGTCTCCTTGGCAGATGTGTGAAGATTGAAGTTGGGGACAAAGATGGAAGCAAGAAAGCCAGATGGGAGGCTTTTGCAATAGTTCAAGCAAAAGATGATGGCGGCTTGAACCAGGGTCATAGAAGACGAGGGAGTGAGAAGTTGATCTCGGAGAGACAGCGGTGAGTGGTCTTGAAGCGGGATCCTATTTCCCTGCCTGGGAATTGGAGCTGCGTAGCCTGGATGAAAACCAGGAATCCTAGCTGCTAGTCCAGCAGGGGCTGGAGGCTAGAAGCAAAGTTCCCCTGGCTCTTGCCCCTGTTTGAAAGCAAGAATGAATCAAGGAGGCAAAAACAGGTACAAAGTTTATTATTAGAGACACAGCACAACATGTGGAGAACACACAGAGAAACAGTGTATTTAGACAGAAGCAAAACAGGAGTACGCACCTGGAGGGAAAGGGTGTGGGCATCCTCCTGAATGAGGAGTGCAATAAAGAGGCAATTAAATTATTTATATGGGGCGGTCCTTCTGGGTCTTCCTTCTGCTCTGGCCAGTTATCTCTCTTCTTTCCCCACACCTGACCTGTCCTACTGCCCTGCCCAATATGTGTGCACATCTTTTTGCCAAGATGGATTCCAGTGCAGAGGCTAACGGAGCTTTGACAGCACCTGTTATGGGATGATGTCGCCCCTTTTTGACCCCAAAGGAGCCTTCCTGCGCACGTGCAGTCAGGGAGGTTTCCTTGACTTCAGTAGTGATAGATGTGGTCGTTTTATCTCTTTACTCCCCCTCAGAGCTCAGCTCCTGTCACTAGCTCTGTCCTTGGTGTGTCCAGGGAAAACAAAGCTCCAATTTATTCTGCTTGACGAACTCCAGCTGCTCAGCCCAGGGGCCCATCTACCTCCTACCTCAAAGTGGTGGGAATGGGGAGATATTTTAAAGGTAGAGCAGACAGGATGTGCTGACGGATTGGATGAAAGATGTGAGGGAAGTAGAGGAGGTGAGAAAACACCCAGGGTTTCGGTCTGATCAACTGGAGGCCTGGAGGGGTGAGGCGTGTTTGTGGTGGGGGGGGCGGGGGGGCATGAATTCGGTTTCAGGTGTGCTGTCAGCTGAGACTCAGGAAGCCGTGGGTCCCGGCCTCAGCCTGGGCTCTGTTCCTACAGGTTCTTGGGCAGAAGCATCCTTACATAGTGCCATGAAAGGCCCTTCGCAGTGTTCACGCTCTGCAGCCTGAGTGGCAACACTGGAGCAGCCTGAAAATTTTTCCCAGTTTGAATTTTTTTTTACTACTAACTCTAACTGGCACAGAGAAGCTGAGCAGTGAAGTAGAAGCTGCTCACGGAGGCACAGCAGCTGGGATGGGTGCTGGGTGTGCCGATGACCCCACCCCAGAGTGACGGGGGTGCTGCGCCGACCACTCTGCTCCCTCGAGCTGGAACCCACTGAGCGAGCCGTGCCTGCAGTGAGCCCCAGCCGTGCTGGTGGCCCCTGTGACTCGGGCTTCAGTCAAGGACTGAGTGGCAGCGTCCATGTGAGCGGCTGGGCCCTGGCACCCCGCTCTGGAGTTTTGAGTCCACTTTGCCCACAGGCCCGGAGAGCAGCAGTGCCTGAGAACTTGCTCCCTAGTCCCTGCTGCAGCACCCTCCACACACACTGTGACAGCCGTTTTGGGAGCAGGAAAACCAGGGTGCTTGCCTCCGTGGGGGTGGGGGGTCCTTGGAGGTGAGGCTGGCACAGAAGGGCCCTTGCCCACTTGGCTTCCCCACTCCTCACCCCAGCTCTCCACTCCAGGTGGACTCCCCGAGAGCACGTCCTCAATCACTCACACGCACACCAATCTTCATGGAAGAGTCTGCTTCCAGGAAGACTGATCTAAGGTGTAAGAAAATATTTCATCACAATGTTTCCCACAGGGAGCGCTGAAGTGCCCTGGGAGCTGCAGAGAACCCCCAGGGGTGTTGTGGGATATTTTTAAATTTCAAGGAAAACAGCAATGATACACAACATCTGTCAGACACAGCGCAAACTACTCAGGTAGTTACAGTTTCCACATTAGATTGTACTGCTTTCCCTTAGATGATGGCTTACTTTTCTGTAGCTGGGTTTTCAGTGGTTACTGTGATAAAAAGCAAGTGCCCTGGGAAAGTCAGGTGGAAGAGGGAATGGAGGTAATGGTGTTAGATCTGATTCCAAGGCTGGAGAAGTTGTTTAGTGTCCACAGGTGCACACACCCCATCAGTAAGTAAATGTGATTAAGAATAAAATAAAAATAGCTTTTTTTAGTGTCTGTGTATTATTTTTTCAAATGGATACTAAGTTATCAGGGTATCAAGTCTTTTAAAGTTGAATCCTTTAGCTATTTCTTTTGGTCAGGGGCTGCCGTGAGTCAGTAACGTCCCTGTGAACCAAATAATTTTGGGGACCTCTACTTTGTAGTGACAATGACAGTTTCTATGTGTTTTGCATTAAAATGTGTCAAGTGTTCAAGAATCAAATAACAGTCCCTATTGCAGACTGTTTGAGATAAACTAATGCTCTTCCTTTAGATGTTTTTTATTCTTCTTGCATTGTTCATAAACTGTCATGTTGGCCTTTAAACATAAACAAACATGTTCTCTCTTGTGTTCTTCTTTCAGAGAGTGGGTTGATCGAGCCCCATCTCTTCATTTTCTGAGAGTATTAATTTGTCTGAGACTTCTAATGAGGGATCCACGTTATCAGGTTGGTTGCAAAAAATAAAAATATTTTTTACTTGTTTGAAGAAGAAAAAAAACCTGGTGGGCTTTTCTTTGAAGCAGAGCATGGTAACTTTTTTTTTTCCTCTCTCACAACTCAGTAGTTTCCAAATTTGGGAAGTATCTCACCTGCTATTTAAAATGATAGGAGAGAAGTGATTTAATGGGGACAAAAACACCTGTATATTTTCTACTCTATTACATATGGGATGAAGTGGATTGAACTTCGGGTCTATGCTTGCATTATCTCCTGGCATTTTAAACCATAGTCAGTTTGGAGAGGTGTACACTTGGCCACACCTTCGAGCATGTTTATGCCAAGCAGCTCAGTAGGTCAAAGTCAGCAGCGACAAGTGGGGGCTTCCTCAGGGGGCTCCAGGGGCAGTGAGTGGGAAAGGCAGGGCCTGCAGCTTTGGTAGCTGCTCCAGAGCCATGCTTGTCCCAGAGTCCAGCCTCAGACCCTGAGTTAGAGGTGAGCAAGGGGCCTCCCACTTGTCTCAGAGGAGGTGCCTGCAGGCAGGAATCTCACCTCCTCTCACTAATTAGTTAAATGTGCGGCCGTAGTTTAGTGCCTCTTAAACTTTAAAGTGCAGAGGAATCACCTGGGGATCTTGTAAATGCGGATGTGGATTCTGTAGTTGTACCCTGAGACCCACGATTCTGCTGAGGCCACTGGTTCATGGCCCACATTTTGATTAGCAAGAACTTAGTGCTTTAGCAGTGAGGCTCTAAAGAAAGGCTTACCTAACACTTCACCTGGATCGTGAAAGTTGTTCCGTCTAGTCTCAGCTGCTAAGATAGCTGCTTTTATAAAGCAGAAGTTCCTAAACTTTCTGTGCATCAGGAACACTTGGAAGACTTAAAGATTGCTGGCACCTGCCCCCACAGTTTCTGATTCAGTAAGTTTGGGGAGGGCCTGGAAATCTGCATTTCTAACAACTTTTCCCGGGTGATGCTGATGCTGCTGGTCAGGGGACCACAGTTTGAGAACACAGGCAGAACCACTGCCCAACCAATTTGAAGAAGCCTCCAAATTGCTTATGAACCATTACTGTTTCTTCTTGCCAGTGTTAAATATCTAAAGAGCATTCTTACTATCCTTATTATTCATACATGCTTCAGTCATTTTCACAGATTGTTTTTTTTTCCTAAGAAGTATCTCCTTTTATGCCCTGTCCTGATAAGCTACTGGGATGCTCAGACCACTCTGAAGCTCTTTTATTTTGGATTCAGTTTTATTGATGAATTATTATTTGAGTCATAATAATAATAATTTCATTACCCCAATAACCATCTTTTCCAAACTTGGCATTTAAAAAAAAAAAAGCGTTCTGGTACTAGCCAGCTACAGAGCCTGCTCTGATTTGAGTCTCCTGGGATTCATGATGTCTTCAATCTTTTCTTTAGAAGAGTCACTCCGTTCCTCATTCCGTATTCTAAGCTGTCTTTGTGCTGTTCTAGTTTAGCCAACCACAGTCATTTGAATATATTACATACTTCAAATGACTTTCTGTCCTGGTTGCTCACAGTTTTCTGGGAATTTTCCTTTTCTCCTGTGAGAAAAGCTGTGTGGGTCACGCATGGTGAGGGTGGGCCATGTGCTTCACTTTGCCTGGGTCACCCCCATGAGCTCCTTGTCCACAAGTCATTATTAATAGCCCCCTGTACACCCCACAGGCCTCAGCTTGGGTAAGAACACTGTGTATATAATATTAATATAACTATTCATGGAAGAAGGTGGATTTTTAGCAGAAGGTCTAGTTTTTTGACTTATAGAAGTTAGCAAAATATTTGCCTTTGACATGTTTGCTCAGAGAATTGATGGCCCTTGTGTCATACTCTGCTGATCTTCGTCTAAAGTGAAGATCTTCATCTAAACACGGGTTCGTGCCCCGGTCCGGGAAGATCCCACATGCCGTGGAGCGGCTGGGCCCGTGAGCCATGGCCGCTGAGCCTGCGAGTCCGGAGCCTGTGCTCTGCAACGGGAGAGGTCACAACAGTGAGAGGCCTGCGTACCGCAAAATAAAAATAAAGTATTGCCTTTCTTAATCTAGTTCTTGATGGGCTGGAACAAGGTTGACTGGATTGCCCTCTAAAGGGAAGAATCCCATGACCTCTTTGCTTACGGGATTTTATGACCAAAACACTTATGAAGCCAAACCTCCCATTGATTTCCAGTCTTTCCATAGAAGGGGGTGCTCCCTGAATCTCTCCTCCTGGCACTCTGTCCACAAAGAGGAGCAGTTGTTTAACATCTTGAGTTGCCAAGAATTTTTGGCTGAAGTCACGTAGTAATGCTGGGGTTTACTACAACTTGTGCCAACAAATGTCAGCACGCCTCTGCCCTCACGAGGCCTTCCCTTCCTCTCTTGGTGAGTCAGTACTGCAGGATCCACAGTGGCTGTTCCAGACCATCTCCACTTCTCATACCCAGACCCCTCCTACCCCTGTCATTCTTATCAGATTACAGCATTACCTGTTTTACAGGCAAAACTGAAGCCATCCCGGTAGGAGTGTTCATATTTTCTTTGTTGCTTGAAATATTCGGATTATCATGCACCTTTGCATCCCTTCTTATTTCTGAAGAAAACCCTCCTCCTTGCCAAGGTTCAGCCTTCCATCTGTTTTCTTTGTTACAGTGTCAGTGGCTCCCTTTCTGTTTTCTTTTATCATAAAATGCCCTTTTCTTGACCTGCTATCCCCTCAAGCCTTCATCTCACCTTCATCACTGCATTCATTGAAAGGTCAGACTATCGGTCTTGAACTCACTCCCTTTCTTTTACAACTGATGTGTTGTAGAAATCTTCATTGAATATTATGTACAAGGTTCTCTCTGGAAGTCATTTAAGAAGATCATGGTGGGCCATGATCCAGTCGTCATTTCTTGACCCAGAGGCTCCAGTATATGCTTAATGGAGGTTCCAGCAAGAAAAGAGTGGAAGGGATGAAAGAGAAGCCATTTTTAAAGATAAATTGCTTAGTTTTCCATAATTAAAGGGCGACATATGTTTGGAGATTTCAAGTGTAGTTGGAGTCCCAAGCAGGATAAAGGTAAAAGTCCACCTGGACTCCTTACAGTAAGCTGTCATAACACATTGCTTATCAAGGATAAAGGGAAAATTCTTTTTTTGTTAAATTTATTTATTTATTTATTTATGGCTGTGTTGGGTCTTCGTTGCTGCTCACGGGCTTTCTCTAGTTGCGGTGACCGGGGGCTACTCTTTGTTGCCATGCTCAGGCTTCTCATTGCAGTGGCTTCTCTTGTTGCGGAGCAAGGGCTCTAGGTGTGCGGGCTTCAGTAGTTGTGGCACATGGGCTCAGTATTTGTGGCTCGTGGGCTCTAGAGCGCAGGCTCAGTAGTTGTGACGCATGGGCTTAGTTGCTACGTGGCATGTGGGATCTTCCCAGACCAGGGCTTGAACCCATGTCCCCTGCATTGGCAGGCGGATTCTTAACCACTGCGCCACCAGGGAAGTCCTAAGAAAAATTCTTAAAAGCCCCTAAGCTACATTTACATCAGCTACAACAATTAAAGGAGAGTGGAGCTGTGTGGCCTTCTCCCCGCTGCCCTTGCACCCCAAGCCTTTCTTTAGCAACCCATACCCTTTGCCACATTTTCTGTTTGCCTTCACTGATCCTGAGAACCTCTAGCTCTTACTCATCATTTTTTCTTTTTTCTGTATTATTTACTTGCTCCTTTTTTAAATTCTGCCTTCATAAATGTTAACCTTCCCCAAAGTTATTTTCTTTGTCATCTTCTCCCCTATCTTCCAAGCTCTTGGCTTCAACTATCATTTTGTTGCTGTTCTTTGCTCACAAGCACATATCTCCAGCCTCAGACTTTGCCATTCATTTAAGTCCCAAATTTCCAGGTATATGTTGGGCAGCGATCCTGATGACACAGCAGCACAGTGATTGTCAAGTGTGATCTGGGGACCGTCATCGGTCCCTGAAACTCTTCCAGGGGTCCCACAAGGTCAAAACTATCTTAAAAGTGATGCTACAGTGTTATTTGCCTTTTCATTCTCACTCCCTTACAAGTGTGCAGTGGAGCTTTGTAAAGGCTACAGGATGTGTAATGACGGAACATATGCTTGTGTACTCTTGTGTTCTAAAACTTCCTCACTTTTAACGTCTAATATGATATATATAAATAGATAGAACCCACATAAACAGAAGCTCTTTGGGATTCTCAGTAATTTCTAAGTGTGTAAAGGCATACAGATGCCAAAGAGTTAGAGAGCCTGATATGCACAGGACCCTCAGTAACTGCACAGGGTCCTCTTCGTCCTCCCTCTCCTCCAACCTGCAGAATCAGCTCCTGATTCTGTTAATGGCACCACCTTTCCTCCAGACTCCAAGGCAGGAAACTTCTCCTCACCCCCTACGAGACTTTTAGAAGAGTAGTTACTAATACACCTGGAAAGATAAGTAAAGGCCAGGGCATAGGGGGGCCTTCAACTGAGACGGAGGGATGAGAGGTGTGGAACCCTGATGGCAGAGGCATGGGTGGTGGGTCAGGGCGCAGCACTCAGAGCTCACTGCTCTGCTGGCCGAGAGGCCCAGGGGAGCGTGTCTAAGGGCCCTGATGCTCTGGGCCGCAGTGACATCGTGCTGGACTGACAACAGCCAGATTGGTGTTGCAGGGTGCTCCATTGTTCTATATAGTTTTTATCAGTATTATGTTATTGTATCAATTTTTTAAAAAGAGAAAAATTCTGGGAATGGGTAGAGCAAGGACATTTGTTCACATGTGGCTCATTGAACTGAAGTTCAGATTGATGGGGACTTTCTCCAGGCCATTAGTTTCAGAAGTCCAGAGCCCAGTCCCATGAGCCTCCAGCCCATGCAGGGGAGGAGGGCTGAGGTGGGGAAGGGCGCGCAGTCCTGTTTGCTTTTCAGATCAGTAACCAGGAATGCTGAGCCCAGGGGTGTGCGTGCCTTGTGGTCTTCTCTCCCATAGACGCTGGCAGGTCAGAGCAGGCGTGTCCCCGCAGCGCTCCAGTCTCTGTTGGGGCCTCGGTCCTCGGGGAAAGTGTTTGTTTAACAAATGGAGCGTAACTGCTTGAGTGCATTTTCCCCTTATTGTACTTTATAGCAGTGCTTCTCTCACGGTGCTCCACAGGACTTGGTCAGTATTCTGTGAAAAGAAATGTGCTCTGCCCGGTGATATGTAGGAAAGCTGCACACGGGTTCTCCCACTAGAGACTTACAGTGCACGGCAGCATATTAAAGCTCTGAGGAGTTTTTAATTTTACTGAGGAGTTTTAGTCTACGATAAGATAATTTGTTACATTCTGTTTAACCTACCATTTGATCATGAAATTTTTTTTTTTAAGAATACCTAGTACCACCCACTGCACAGAATAAAATGATTATTCCCAGGAGAGAGTTTGGGAAACATGGGCTTAGTTCCATATTGTTAACATTGATTGTTGGACAGATATATTTTTGTCAAGGTAAACATTTAAAGATGACCATGACCAATCATTTAACCATTATTCTCTCCCTGGTGTCTTCTCCCTCCCAAGCTTCAAATTTAAATTTCCTTTATGTCAGCGATGCCAGATTTCAGTCTTCTGCCCTGGCCTCATTTTTCCCCGGTCTGTTGTTCTTTTGTCATTTGGATACACCACCAGCAACTCAGCATGTCCAGACTCAGTCTCCTTGTCTACCCAGCCTATTCTCCCCTTCCCGGGTTCATCGTGTCCTTGCCCCCAGTCACCCTGGCTCGCAGACAGAGATGCCTCCTGCACTCCCTTCCTGCCCTCGGCCCTTTCACGCCCAGTTGGTCACACCACTGCCAAGACAGCCCACCTGTCCACTCCCTTCTTGCTGCCCCTGCCAACCCACAGGGCTTCCCTCCATGCCCCTGCCTCTCCAGTTCATTCTAAGACTAGAGGGACGATGTGCTCACGGCTGATTCTGATTGGCCCTTGTTCGCACCTTTTCATCAGACCCGAATGGCAAAGTTCAAATTCAGGCTCATGTCCACGTCTGAATGGACATGTCCAGTTTATCTCACCCTATTTTTCTAACATTATTCCCAAAGATTCCCTTCATGGTGTTAGGGAGGTGCTTTTCACAGTAATAGAACATCTTGATGTTCTTTCTACGCAACTTCTATGCACTTTTGAGCCTCTTTGTTCTCTTTGCTTGGAATCCCCTTTATTTCCTCCTCTCCCCCCATGTCTTCTCAGCACAGCTATCCATCCTTCTAAGCCCATTCAGAGGCTACCACCCTTACAAAGTTTTCCTTAGTCCTCTCAGCAGGCTATTATATGTCCCTCCTCTGCAGCATCACAGCACCTCATGTATAACTTTCTTATAACACTTACCAAATTCTATCTTAAATTCCAGTTATTTTTACATCTGCCTTATGCTTGCTTGCAGCTCAGTGAAGTCAGCCTCTGTCATCTATATATTTGTGTCCCCTTCAGAGCCTAACCCAGGGATCTTACCTAACAGGAATGAAAAAAAAAATATTTGCTGAAAAAATATGTGTCTTTTTATGGCTGAGTAATTTTCCATTGTATATATGTGCCACGTCTTCTTTATCCATTCATCTTTTGATGGACACTTAGGTTGCTTCCATCTCCTCCTGGCTATTGTAAATAGAGCTGCAATGAACATTTTGGTACATGACTCTTTTTGAATTATGGTTTTCTCAGGGTATATGCCCAGTAGTGGGATTGCTGGGTCATATGGTAGTTCTATTTGTAGTTTTTTAAGGAACCTCCATACTGTTCTCCATAGTGGCTGTATCACTTTACATTCCCACCAACAGTGCAAGAGGGTTCCCTTTTCTCCACACCATCTTCAGCATTTATTGTTTCTAGATTTTTTGATGATGGCCATTCTGACCGGTGTGAGGTGATATCTCATTGTAGTTTTGATTTGCATTTCTCTAATCATTAATGATGTTGAGCATTCTTTCATGTGTTTGTTGGCAATCTGTATACCTTCTTTAGAGAAATGTCTGTTTAGGTCTTCTGCCCATGTTTGGGTTGGGTTGTTTAAAACGAAATTGAGATATTTGTAGTGAGGTGGATGGACCTAGAGTCTGTCATACAGAGTGAAGAAAGTGAGAAAGAGAGAAACAAATACCATATGTTAACACATATATATGGAATCTAAGAAAAAAAAAAGTCATGAAGAACCTAGGGGTAAGACGGGAATAAAGACACAGACCTACTAGAGAATGGACTTGAGGATATGGGGAGGGGGAAGGGTAAGCTGTGACAAAGTGAGAGAGTGGCATGGACATATATACACTACCAAACGTAAAATAGATAGCTAGTGGGAAGCAGCCCATAGCACAGGGAGATCAGCTCAGTGCTTTGTGACCACCTGGAGGGGTGGGATAGGGAGGGTGGGAGGGAGGGAGACGCAAGAGGGAAGAGATATGGGAACATATGTATATGTATAACTGATTCACTTTGTTATAAAGCAGAAACCAACACACCATTGTAAAGCAATTATACTCCAATAAAGATGTTAAAAAAATATATAAGTGGTTTTAAAATGTTATTTTTATATGTATAAAATTTCCACCATAATTAGTGATAATGTATACAATATTCTTACGTTCTTTAATTATAGGTCTTCTAAAGTGAATAGCAATCATGGGAATTCAAATTAATAGGTGGTCATAGAACGATTTTTAATAGCGTTATAAATGTACCTTTATTCTTAATTTAAACAAGGGTATGTTGCTTCCAAATTCCCTTCACACAGAATAAGGAAACCTTGACCCAGGAGGCCTTGAGCCCCTGAGCCTTTCCTTAGCTGCCCACTCAGCTTCCGGGTAGAACGAGATCGCGCCCTCACAGTCACGTACTCATTGCCCTGAACTTTCCAGAGTTGGAATGTTGGCTAATGTTTGTATTTCAAATAACTTCCTTGTGTGCATAGAAAGTGAGGAGAGAGGTGTCAATATAGAGTTACACAGGTTAGGGCCACCTGAAACCCATTAACCCCAAGATAAATGTCAGTGTGGGTAACCTGAGAGCATGAACTGTTAGGAGAGCTCCAAACCAGTTTCTTTCACAACTCCAGCCTCCCAGCACTCTCTCTCTTAATAAGCACTTTTCAGAAGTTTCATGCAGTGCCTTGTTATTGGGAATTGATTTTAAAGACCTATATCTGAGGACATTTTGCAATGATTATCCTTACATTAGTTTAGGATAAGCCACATCATTTTAAGGAGAAGCCCTGTCGTCTAGTCTACTAGAGCAATGCTGCTCAGATTTTATTGGGCGTGTGCATTTCCCAGGGATCTTGTTGAAATTCATAGTGTCATTCAGCAGGTCTGGGGGGAGTAGGAGATTCTGCATTTCTAATCAGCTCCACATGATGTTTTTGCTGTTGGTCCATGGGCCACACTAAGCAGAGGCCTAAAGGAATCCTAGGAAGAGGATTCAGTGATGCTGGATTCTTATCCAGGCTCTGTCACTTAGGCAAATGGTTTACCATTCTGGGTCTTAGTTTTCCAACTCTGTAATATGAGGATGTTGAAGGGAATGATATCTAACAGCTTTTTCCAGCTCTAACATTTTATGATGACATGAAAGGAAGTAAAAAGAATTAGGAGTCAGGCTGCAGTTCTGAGCATACTTACATTCTCTTAATCTCAACCCAACTTTCATTCATATTTATTAATAACTTATCTTAAATATAGTATGACTGGAAAACATTAAAGTTTTCCATATTTATGTTAGAATGTGGGCCTTCAAAAAATAATTAAAACTCATAACTTAATAAATAGATTGCATGTAAAATACATTCCCCCCACCACTCTCATCTTTCATGTGTGTTCTGTTTTTATTTTATCAGGAAATACTCCATAGCTTGGGTGGGATTGAAAACCTAGCTCAGGTAAGATTCCTTTTGTGGTGGCTGGTTTTGCCTTTCTCTTTTAGGCAGAGATTACACAGGTGTGTGACAGAAGATGTCTTTCTTACCTTAGCTGCATGCCAAGGAGAGGAGCAGGCAGGGTTGTGAGTGTGAGCATGAGGCAGGATACACACAGAGCAGGGAGGGACTCGTGACATTTTCTCTTGGCTGATTGGGCTCACTTTACCCAGCCTGTTGAAACGAGAAAGCTCTATCAATATAAAAGGTCACCTGTCTTTAGTTAGTAAAGAAAATAAATAGGTGTTGTCTGGCAGGCCCCAGGCCTCAGCATTGCACACACCAAATGGTGGGAGAAAATATTGATTATGAAGATGTTCATAACTTTTCCACACAAAAAAGAATTGCTGTGCTCACTAAAATATTAAAAATAAATGACAATGGGAGGAATGATCTTGACTTCATTTATTTTTCTGCTTTGGTAACTACTGAGGCAAAGTAAGGAGGTGAATATATATGCTGAGACAGTCCAATGTTTGGGCTTACTAATACAATCAAACAAAATTTCCAGGCATGGAAACAGTTGAGACAGCCCATTCTCCTGAAATCTATACCATGTATGGAAATAATAATTTTCATAATAAACCCGTGGCCCTACAAACTCATGCTGAGTTATTAATGGATGATTAATTTTAATGGCAATTTAATATTAAATCTATTTTATTATTTTTTTATTCTTGGGAAATCGATAAAACATATCTTGTTTTTATTTTTAAGAAAATTTTTAATTGGCTAGAGGTTTAGCTCATTTAATGAAATAATCTTTAATAAAATTATATTGTAAAGGATCTTTTTATCCATTTTACTTTCATTAAAATGTCATAAATTTATGTGTTTCTCTGAACTTATTACAATCAGTCATCCACAGTGAGGGATTATTAGACTACCCCATACATTTCATTCTGATCATTGCTATCTGCTTGTATGTTGGTTAGATATAATTTAGGATATTATAAAACATAAGGTCGATAAAATATATGCAGTATGTTATTAAAATTCTGCTGAAAAGTTACATTGAAGAATTAAAATTCTATGTACTATATTATTGCATCTTATTTGTATCTTATATTTGGAGGCTAAATTGCAACACAAATTTATCCAGTTAGGAGTCATCTTGGGACTTTTGAGAGTTTAAACAATCTTTCCAGGTCCCTTCCTCCACTTTGGGGCGTTCCACAGAAGCCAAGAACCCAGAAACCCACCCCCTTCTGCCCTTGAGTGAAACAGGCCCAGGGGCACCAAGTATTGTTTGGTGAGCCTGTTGTGCCACCTACAGCTCATTTTCAGAAGTGCACAACCTTTCCCCTCACCTGCTGTGTGCTTGAGCGTTCTCCCCTCTGATTCGCCTCTCGGTCTCCCCCTCCCCCCGCCGCAGTACATGGAGATCGTGGCCCACGGGTACCTCGGCTCCGGGGAGGCGCAGCACAGCGTGGACAAGCTGGTCAACATGACGTGTAAGCGCGGTCCCGGGACGCAGCTGGCCTTCCGGGCATGGCATTTACAGCAGGGAAGGGGGGATGCTTTGAATACTCACGGAGGTCCCCACCCAGCTATGGGCTTGAGAGCCCATGCCAGCTGTTATGCTCAGTGGCAAAATGTACCCAGAGGGGAGATTTTTAGATCACAGTTCTTACCTTGAAAAACCCGATTTCATGTTTTAAAAGATTTTCATTGAGCACAAGCTTAGTTTATTTAGTGCAAGAGAGATTTCCTTCCATAAAAACAAATTTTGGTAAAAATATTTTTTGCCTCCTTCGATTTCTATTAAAATGTCAGAGACTATTCATTTTTCATCTATAAGATTGGGGTAATAACAATACCCACTTACAAAGCTTCTCTTTTTGGAAGCTCTTCCCAGCCCACCTTCCGTGCTCTCTGGATTTGATGAGTGCACACTCCTGCTCTCGTGGGAGTGAGCCCACTTTCTTTGTGTGCACAGGACAGGACCTTAATTCTCAATTCCAGGGAGAGAGGAATCTGTGGTGAGCCTCAGGGACCAGGAAGGTTCTGTGAGGCCAGCCGTTCCCCTCCCCTGAGGAACCTTGCTAAGTCCATCACATGAAATCTTTATGGGGACTATCTTTGAAGAATAGGTTTCACTTTGAACTTGTAATGATATTAAGGAACTCATTCAACTTTAAGTGGAAGGGAAGGTTTAATTTTCTTGCTATCTCCAAATTTTATTATTATAATAGTAATATATAATAAATACAAGTTGAGCTTGAAACATGATTCTTGAAGTAAAAAAAATCAACCCTGTCCCTCCTCCCTCCATTGTCCTTTTTGTGTGGCCTGTGTTCCCGTTTATCCTTCGTTTGCCCATCAGTACTTGAGACCTGAGGCTCTGTGAGCACTGACCCCCTTTAAGCTTCAAATCCCTCATTGAGATATTCCATTCCTTTATAGATATTTTTCAAAAGCTTGCTGCTGTCAAAGACCAAAGAGAATGGGTCACCACAAGCAGAGCCCACAAGGTGAGTGGTCCCAGAAGGAGTTCCTGCTTCAGCTTCATATGGTGGTGGTTCACATGCTAGAGTCCAGAGCCCTTGTGGTCAAGCCATGTGTAATTATAATTCTCAAGCCTGCTAACCTAGCCTAAAATTGCCAATCTCTGCTAACCCGCCTAAGGAGTAAATATAGAAACAGCAAATAAAGGTTTTCTGAAACTTTTTTCTTTGTTCTATGTCATTTAATTCTTTATTGCTTAATCAACTAAGTTTATTGCTTAATTTAAATGTTGCTTGTAAAACCTTGACTATATATAAACTGACCCTAGGTGTGTGTTTACAAATAAATAAATAAATACATATATATGTATGTATACATATAAATACATTCCATTTGACACATGAGGTTATATTAGTTTGAACCATGTGAAATTACCCTGGTGTGTAGGTCAATTTCATATGGTTTAACTTCATAATAAGATGGTTTAGTATTATAAGCCTATGGGTCAAATACATATTTCAAGATGAATGAATGCAGGTTTAATCAAAACAGACTACATTTATATTTACAGCAAAACTATTTAGCTGGTAGCTGCCTAGAGCCAGGTTTCAATAATTTGTTGAGTTTTTATATCCCAGGAAGCCACTTTCCAGCATATATTAGAGCAAAGTTGCCTAAAATGTGTTAACACATGCTGCTCATTGTATGGGGGGGGTGATTCTTAGTGATAATACAGGTCAACATTTTTTATTTCAATAGCTATATATTTCACTGATATCACTTAGAATTTGAAGAACATTTTTGAGTAGCATTAAGGTGTTAAGGGTGGACATGACAAAAATTGTGAAATGATATATCAGTGACTGCATTTTGAGAAACATTATGTTAGAAGACAGAAAGGAAAAAGTGAGAAAAGAAGAAGAGGAAGGGATCTGAGAAACAAAGATAATAATATCTCCATAGAAAATGCATAAGATCATAAAGGGGAAAAACCCACATAATAGAAACCCAAAATCAGCCTAGTAGTTGTTATACAGGTCTGAATAACAGGTCTGAGCTGTTATACAGCTCTGGTCTGAAGTATGTTTGGGTGTGTGCTTTGGGGGACCCTGAGTTCTAAAAATTTAGAGGGAAAATATGTAAATTTGTAGTAATGGGAATCCCGAGAAGGTGACTGATAAGATATAGATGACTCCCAACTCAGTGATGTTACTCAGAAATTTGAGAGGCAAATGGATTGTCTGGTAGTGTTAGCATATCTTGCTGAGTTTGGGAAAAAATGACAGTCTTCAACATTTTGTTGAAAAAGTACTTTCATAATTTGGAAAGTGCCTGCCACAATGCCAATGCCCAACTCAGAATGAGTGCTCAGTGACTGGTCGCTACCAGAAGACAGAGAGCAGACAGCGTGGGCACTTGGAAGTAGAGGGCCATGTATCGTGGTCCCTTTGCTTCCTGTCCTGGGCAAGGAATGCTTACAAGGAGCTCGTCTGAAGAGGGGGTGGATGCCTGCCCCTTAAGAACTGGGGATTGTGAATGTTTAACAAATTTTGAAGTTAAGCCTCTATGATCTTTAGAAGGAAACATACTGTTCAAGAAGCTTGTAGTACTTACATAATTAAACCTTATTTTACTTCATTTTTCAGACATTAGTAAATTTACTCAGTGCCCGAGATACTAACGTTCTGTTGGGTGCCCTTCTGGCTGTGGCTAGTTTAGCTGAAAGGTGAGTGTATTTTAATAAGTTCTGCTGCTTTAGCAACTCAGATGGAAGAAATGCAAAATAGATCAGTTTCTCTACTTATTTTGTCATCTACTTAGTTAAAATTTGTGAAAAATAAACACGAAGTACCATAACTATACTGAAAAGGATCCAGGATAGAAAAGCATCATTTTAGAATTTAAGTTGGAGCAGCAAAGCAGTTTAAAATTTTCTTTTTTTTTCCCTGACCAGAAATATTTACCTAGTCTTTTCATCCAACCCTCAGTTACTTCTACTTTCAAAATTACACAATATGTCTTGGAAGTTGAATCTCCCTGACTTGTTTTCTTCATTCTCTCCCCTATTTATATTTTAACATTTTCAAATATTTTTGCCCTTTAAAAAATTCTAGATAACCCCTACAGATGTTATGATTATTTTAAGTTAAAAAGCTTTAAATATGTTTTTATACCAGTAAGTGGATCACTGCTTTTTTGTTTTTTGGGTTTTTTTCCAACTTAATTGAGGACTAATTGACAAATATAATTTTATGTATTTGAAGTGTACAACATAATGATTGTACACATATACATATATACACTGTGGAATGATTACCAAGATCAAGATAATTAATACATCCATCACCTCTCATAGTTAACTCTTTTTTTTGGTTTTGTGACGAGAACATGTAAGATCTCTCAGCAACTTTCAAGTGCACGGCCCCATATTATTAACTATAGTTGCTGTGCTGCACATTGGATCCTTAGTGCTCATTCTTCTTATAACTGAAAGTTTGTACCCTTTAACCTACATCTCCCTGTTTCCCCCTACTTCCAGCCCCTAGTAAACACCCTCCATTCTATTCTGTTTCTATGTAGTCGGTTTTGTTTGTTTATTTTAAATTCCACATATAAGTGATACCGTATGGTAGTTGCCCTTCTCTGTTTGGCTTATTTCATTTAACAGATTGTTCTCTAGGTTCATCCATATTGTCACAAATGACAGGATTTTTTATGGCTGAACAACATTCAATTATGTATATATAATTATATTCAATTATAACTATATATAAATATTCAATTATCTATATAAATATGTATATCACATTTTCTTTATCCACTTCATCTATCAAAGGATATATAAGGTCATTTCTATATCTTGGCTACTGTGAGTAATGCTGATCATTGCTTTTTTGTGAACAGCACATGATTCCCTTTCTCCAAAGGAAATCATGTTATCATCATACTGTTATTAAACAAATTTAAATTTGTGACATATAATACTTATTGAATGTTGGAGTTTAATGTAGCCCTGCCCCATAGAGCTACACTGCATTTTGTTTCTCCTCCTGGGATAATATGAGGGCTAAGATATTAAATACATGGATATGGTAAAATACATTTTTCATAGTTACTAATACTTTTCAATTTGTAGTCCAGAATGTAGGGAGAAGATAAGTGAACTCAACATTGTAGAAAATCTGCTGATAATTTTACATGAATATGACTTGCTTTCCAAAAGGTAGGATTGCTAACAGGGGAAAATGACAGTGTCTGACATTTAATGAAAATGATCATTATTATTTTACTTATGTTATTTACATTGTTAACTGAATATCATGCGTCAACTTGGCATTTATCTTCTAGTTAAGTTTATATAAAGTAACCAATAGCAAAGAGATATATCGATTTGTCTTTGGTCCTGCTTTACTTCTAGAACTGGTCATAGATTTGAAATATATAAATCTCATGATTATGTCTTTAATATTTTTTTATTACATTTATTTACATCCTGTCTCCTTAAGGAAAGAAACTCTGAAGTGGCTCTACTTTCAGTAATTTCAGATTGTGTGTTGAATAAGTGATTAGATTCCTAAAATCTATTTTGCTTAAGGCAAGTAAAATACATTAAGATAGCTACTGACTTATTTCATGACCAAAACAGAATCTAGAGTAAAATGAACTCATTTTCACTTGAACTACCTATTGCCCTAAAAACTTACTGTATCCAGATATTCCTTAGGTTACCTGCATCATATGATATTTAGTCGAGTAAGTCATAATTTTCTAAAGAGGCAAATAGTTAACAGAAATCCCAAGCAATAAAACGCTGACATTTAACTCATAGTAAATCCCTTGAATTCTTCATCTAAGCCAATTTAACCCTCTTTTACAAACTATACTTAGACTTGGTTGTCTGAATTGATTCACCCAATAGCCCCTGCACCGGTGTTGGAAAACCAAAGATGAATAAGATATGGTCGCATGGCGTAGGAGAGGGGCAGACACACAAATCATCAGTTTCACCACAACATTGTAGGTGGTGTGGTCAGTGGGTGCACAGGATAGATACCCTGAGGGCATGGAGCAGCACCTCCAGTCAGAGCAAGGGCTCATGCCAAGTCTCCTAAAAGAAGGAGCAGTTGTCTAGGCAGAGGAAGAGAGCAAGTGACAACAGAATATGCTCCCACCTGGAGGCCTGCAGTGCTGTGTGAGAGAGGAGCGTGCATGGGTGGGCGCAGCTACAGCAGAGTGCAGGAGGGAGGGTGCCAGAAAACTAGTTAGATAAGTTGGCTTATAAGTTAGATAATAAGTTAGATAAGTTAGAAATAGAGCTAATTTTGATAAGTTAGAAACAGAGCTAATTTTGGCCAGGCCTTCTACATGCCAGGCCCTGCTCTAAGCACTTTTGTGTTTTAATCTGTTTGATCTGCAATTCTCTTTCTATATTTTATAGATGAGATACCTTTAGCGAGGTCATGATGGGCTCTTTGTGCCTAGTAGTGTGGTTTTTATCATGAACGTGGAGACTCACAGATTTTAATCACGATCAGATTGATTTTGTGGGGACAGTTATTCTGATTGCAGTGTGTGGAGTGTGGAATTTAGCCACACAATGAGATCCACTTAGAACAAGGAGGGTATTTTTGGTGTAGAAAGTTTGAGAAGGTGAAGAGTACTGTCTACCAAAGAACATATGTCAGAGCATAAAAGTTTGGGAGGGAGAGGAGCCATGGAAAATTAGCTCAGGGAAAGGAATTGTGAAGCAGGATAAGAATGGAAATACTGGAGAGGAGAGCGACAGAGAAGCTTATATCTTGAGCATAATCGAGGCTCACAAGGATGGAGGGGCAGTGGGTTTAGCTAGCTGCAGGACTCACAGAAGAATTAACCCCAGTGCTTGCCCAGGAAACAGGGGGCACCAAAGGCTCTCCACTGGTTGGAGAAGAAGGGAGTGTCTTGGAGGATTCCCAGTCTTTGGCTTGGAAATTGAAAAGACTGTGGTGTCCTGAGTCCAGATCGGGGACATAAATGGAAGGGCTGATTTGGGGAGGAGGATAATGACTGAGTTTAGAAACAGTGGGGTGAGTGCCTGTGGAACAGTTAAGTGACTGCTGGAACCTCTATAGGTTTGGAGTGATGCCTGGGCTGAGATCACAGTGCCAGGGTAGAGGGAGTGTTTGAAGCCATAGGAATAAATAACACCATCCAGGAAGAGTGTTCAGAGTGTGAGCCTGGAGGATTCAGGACAGCTCTATGAAACGTCTATAATCATAATGTTTCAGAGCTTAGTTGAACCTTATGTCTTATGCCATCATTATCTTTATTTTACTCTCCAGATATTCACTGAGCACTTTGCATTTAATTTCCCTGGATCATAGTGTTTTTGCCATCAGGTATTAATGTCTTATTTTTGCAATCACATAGTAAGTTTCTGAAGACTAGGATAAAGCTTTTCTATTTCTTTTGTCTTGAGCATAATTCAGGCCCCATTGTATGTACTTGATGCCTGTTTGCTCGTTAGTAGGTTTTTAGCCAGACCAATGGGGATACCATGAGGATATGACTTAGAAAGTGGTCCAGAAACTATGACCTGCAGGCTAAATTTGGCTCCCTGCCTGTTTTTGTGAATAAAGATTTATTGGCACACAGCCATGCGCATTGGTTTTCATGTGTTGTCTGTGGCTGCTTTTGCACATGTTGGCATGGCTGGGTACTCATGACAGAGACTGTATGGCCCATAGAGCTGCAAACACTTGGCTGTGATCCAGCCCTCTACAGAGAACATGAGCTGACTGTGACATAGAGCCTGTTGGCGCGACCGTCCGTGCATGTCGGCAGCTCCGTGTGAATCAAGTCAAGCCACCACTGAGCTGAGTCTCCCCTCCCGCCCATCCCTCGCAGGCTCTCGGCTGAGCTGCTGCGCCTGCTCTGTGCCGAGCGCCAGGTGAGAGAGCAGGTGAAGCTCTACGAGGGGGTCCCCATCCTCCTCAGCTTGCTGCACTCAGACCACCTACAGCTTCTGTGGAGCGTCGTCTGGATCCTGGTTCAGATTTGTGAGGACCCTGAGACCAGTGTGGAAATTCGCATTTGGGGAGGCATCAAGCAGCTTCTTCATATTTTACGAGGGTGAGTCAGAGTAGGCTTTGGCCTGCTTCACTCTGGCTGATGAAGGCTGGGGTCTCAGCTGTTCGAGGGCAGGGTGGGCATGTGCTCAGCTGGCTCCTTCCCATTCTTTGGTCATTCATGTTCTACAGAGTCATTTTTACTTGTTGCAAACAGGCTCTAAATCAATGTCAGGGGCGTTCACCTTTTCAGCTCCTTGGGAGCCCTGACATATTTTTTGAATCACCAGCCTGCATTAAAGTAACGGATGTATGATCCTTAGTTAAAATAGGGGGAAATACGGTTATTCAAATGGTTCCATGTTACTGACCCTGGTCCAGTTGCTCCTCTTTTCTCCCTAATCTCCGTGGCAGTGCTCTGAGGTGGATTAAGACCTTGTTGTCTCTCTTTTAAAAGTAGAATCTGGGGCTTCCCTGGTGGCGCAGTGGTTGAGAGTCCGCCTGCTGATGCAGGGGACGCGGGTTCGTGCCCCGGTCCGGGAAGATTCCGCATGCTGCGGAGCGGCTGGGCCTGTGAGCCATGGCCACTGAGCCTGTGCTCCACAACGGGAGAGGCCACAACAGTGAGAGGCCCGCATACCGCAAAAAAAAAAAGAATCTGGTGGTATTCAAAGCCATAAATCTGGGGAAGGAATGGCTTGTTAAAACAATTTCAAACTGAAATTCTCTTGAATTATGTTGCAAAAACTATAACAATAACCAAAAATAGTAGATATGGTATTGTATTACATGTATTGAAGTATTGAATAACAATATTGCTGGTACCACCAATGGGAAGGATCTATTACCTAAAATTATTATAGAGCATAATTCATCCCCCTAGGTGCTGAATCAAAGTTGAAAAGGATTATATCTGCCTGGAAAAAGATCACATTTATCTGTAGTATGTAAATAAAGTTCATTCTAATAAAAGCAGAGTAACATCAATTTTAATATGACTTGTTATCAAATCAATATTATTCAGACTTTGTGCTTATTGTGCCTGATAACTTGATATTGTGGAGCTATGTGTCATCAGCTCCATTCTCTGAAGGAACTTTCCAAAGCATAAGAACAGACTAGAGATATGAACAGTGGCTTTGTTAACAATTTCTGTCATTACCAAAACCAAGGAAATAATGTGTAGACTGTTAACAATCTACTTGCTTTTATGAATATCACATAAAAATCTCAAGTACTTTAAAGTATAAATTATAAATCTTTCATTAGTATTGTGGCATAATGAGCTAGCCCCACAGTCAAAGTAATTATGATTGCAAAGTTTTTTTTCCACTTGAGTTTATAGGATGATGGTGGTGGTTATTTTTGGTCCATCATACGTATTACAGTGGCTGTGGGTAGCCCTCGTGGAGAGCAGCTATTTTCTTGATGATAAAATTAAATTATATAATAGTTAAGCAATACTTCAAGGACAAAACCTGCCTTTTGACCACATAGAACTGAGTTTAATATAAGGTACTAGTTTTCCTCTTTTGGAGGAAACCATTCTTGATAGAAAAGAGTTCTTTCACATCTAAAGAGTGATTTTCCCAGTCCACTTCTATGGTACAATGTTAGAAATCTCTTCCCTGGGAAGAAGATGTATGTCAATACTTACTCTATGTTAAATATGGCTCAGTGCTCTGGGAGAATTTATTACCCCAGCTGTGTAAACAATATCCTTTCAGAGATGGGCTGCCTGGAGCTGGTACAAGGGGTGAGGTTGCCACGTTGTCTGCTGGCTTGAGTATGAACAGCCTCTGTTGTCAAGGTGGTTTATAGGAAATCTGTTCATGCCCATTCACCTGCAGTCCCAAACTCAAAGGCAGTTACTAAAAGGTTACATACTCTTGATCAGATAGAGTGATCCCTAAAATTCAATTTTTAACATAATTAAAGATCATTGACTGCAACTATTCCATTACCTTCCCTATGCTCCCCAAAAGAAGGGCAGAGGGCCCAGATGACACAGGAGGGAGGCCAGGGAGACTCCATCCACTTTACATTTGGGTATATAGAAATCTACATAGAGCTGCTGCCATAAAAATAAATGCATGAAAAAACATGGCAACCATGTAAAACAGAAGGGAACAAAGCAGATAAAGACAGACGAATGATCTATTGTGGAAGATGTTGCACTAAGTAAACAGAAAAACAAATGCTTTATTTTATCAAAGACATTAAACAGAACATGAAGTCTATGAAATGAGATTAAAGATGAGATGATAGGATAGTAAAAAGGAGAATAGAATGATTGTGAAGCTGGGAAAGAAGATGAGGACTGAACAACATGCAGAGACTGAGTACCAGAAAGGATGTGGAGTTAGTGAAGGGAAGGGCGTGCTTGAAAACTTACACACGATGCAGAGGAGGAAGACAAGGGAATAAGAGCAACATAAAATGAAGGATATGGCCTGCAGAAGATGGGTTCTCAGCACGTGGATAATTGATATCCCTAAGGTAGAGAACAAAACAAAAGGAAATTTTGGAAAGCCTCAATCATCTAATAGAAGAGAACTTTCCTAAAATAAAAGAAGATTGGAATTTAATGGAAAAAGACAAAACTCAGAATGATGAAGACTGAGATGTATTCAAGTAAATGGCAGAAGAATAGAGTTCAAAACAAAGGCAGCCATGTGAAAAATAGAGAGATGGCTCCTACCTCACACTTCACACAAAAATCATGTCTGAGTGGATTGGAAGGTCACACAGGAGAAAACTTTATGACCTGGGGAGGCAAAGATTTATAAAACGGGAATCAGAAAGCACTGACCATGAACTACCATTGATAAATTGGTCTGTGCATTAACTTTTCTTTTTCAGGGACAGAAATTTTGTTTCTGATCGTTCCTCCATTGGAAGCCTGTCTAGTGCCAATGCGGCAGGCCGAATCCAGCAGCTTCATTTGTCAGAAGATTTCAGCCCTCGGGAAATACAAGAAAATACTTTCTCTCTTCAAGCAGGTATTTATATCATATTATTATGTTTCATTATTTGATACTGTTTAACCTTGTATTATTCTATTATAAAATTATAATGATAATATTAATTAGGCCCAATTTATAACTTAAAAAATGTGAAGTTAAATTGATGTGGATGCCTGAAACTTCTTGGTACCAGTGTTGGACTTGCAGGTTAAAGACACCCCAAACTTTCCTCTGCTTGCCAAGTTCTGTGGCCTAACCTGTTAGCCCTCTAAAGTAGTTCATACTCGGATTATAAGTGTTAATTTGGATAATATATTTAAAGTACGCACTATTTACCTGACCATTGTCCATGTACATTGAGCACGTGCTCCACACAGGGCACATGTTGGGTATGGGGCTGACGGTGCCTGCCCCCCCCCACTCCATGCACAGCGGGGTGCATTAAGGGTGCCCCACAGGCTGCCATGGGGTGTGCATGCATGTGAGCTACACGAAGAGGAGAGGTACCAGCCAGCACAACTCAGGTGCCTTTCTCCCAGAGACTTGCCAGAAGGAAAATTAGTGTTTTTTGAGGGATGGCTCTGCCAACAAAATTCTCTGAGGCAGGGAGCGAGATTGCTGATGTGCACGTGCCGCCATGGCCATGACAGACACGGCATTTGGTGGTTTTCGTTGCAGCCTGCTGTGCGGCCCTCACGGAACTGGTGCTCGACGACACCAACGCCCACCAGGTGGTTCAGGTGAGAGGGCAGGGTGCCAGGACCTGTCATGATGGAGGGAGCCCACCTCAGGTGACACCTGTATCCTGGAACATGGCTTAAAAATATTGTAATATGTCTTATTTAACATGTAGAATTCCATTTTATATTCTTGTCCTTCCTCTTTTAACTCAGCTTAAAAAGAACTGCCATGTAGGTAACTGATGGTGTTTATTCCCTATATTACGTGCAGTCTATTTCATTTTCTTTATCTTTTTTTATTAAAGCTATTCTGAATTGTTTTTTGTTTTTACATCTTTATTGGAGTATAATTGCTTTACAATGGTGTGTTAGTTTCTGCTTTATAACAAAGTGAATCAGTTATACGTATACATATGTTCCCATATCTCCTCCCTCTTGCATCTCCCTCCCTCCCACCCTCCCTATCCCATCCATCCAGGTGGTCACAAAACACTGAACTGATCTCCCTGTGCTATGCGGCTGCTTCCCACTAGCTATCTATTTTACATTTGGTACTGTATATATATGTCCATGCCACTCTCTCACTTTGTCACAGCTTACCCTTCCCCCTCGCCATATCCTCAAGTCCCTTCTCTAGTAGATCTGTGTCTTTATTCCCATCTTACCCCTAGGTTCTTCATGACATTTTTTTTCCTTAGATTCCATATATATGTGTTAGCATACTGTATTTGTCTTTCTCTTTCTGACTTACTTCACCCTGTATGACAGACTCTAGGTCCAACCACCTCACTACAAATAACTCAATTTCGTTTCTTTTTATGGCTGAGTAATATTCCATTGCATGTATCTGCCACATCTTCTTTATCCATTCAGCCGATGATGGACACTTATGTTGTTTCCATCTCCTGGCTATTGTAAATAGAGCTGCAATGAACATTTTGGTACATGACTCTTTTTGAATTATGTTTTTCTCAGGGTATATGCCCAGTAGTGGGATTGACACATGAAAGAATGCTCAACATCATTAATCATTAGAGAAATGCAAATCAAAACTACAATGAGATATCATCACATCGGTCAGAATGGCAATCATCAAAATATCTAGAAACAATAAATGCTGGAGAGGGTGCGGAGAAAAGGGAACACTCTCGCACTGCTGGTGGGAATGTGAATTGGTACAGCCACTATGGAGGTTCCTTAAAAAACTACAAATAGAACTACCATATGACCCAGTATTCTGAATTGTTTTAATTTAATTGTTTTAATTCCTATGGGGCATAGGACACCATGAGTTAAGGATAGCAGTCACTTTAAGAGGACATGAAGTTATTCAGCTAGAGGTGATTGAAACACACCAAACAAAATATTTATTGCCAGGAAACTGATTTCACAGAGCACACAAAGCATAATTCATTAACCAATTCACTACATATACAGTCATGTGTGTGTGTGTGTATGTGAATACACACATTTGTATACAACCCTTGTATGTGTTTCTATTATAAAAGTTATTTCCTGCTTGTTGAATTTTACAGAGAAAAGTTTTTTTTGTTCAATACATCAACTTAAAAATACATAAATTCATAAAGTTAGTAAAGGATCATGTCAGCAGTGATCAGAGTCCCTGGGGAAGCTCAGCAGGTCAGGGTGGCAGCTGAGGCAGGGGGAGGCTCAGTCCTGTTATCATTGCTTGCTGTCTTGGCCTCTGGAAAAATATTTAGCCTAAGTTTTGACTTCGTCATGTATAAAACAAGGAAATTACAGACTAATTCACAGAACAGCTATGAAGACTAAATGTAGTAAGGCAGGTAAAGCTCTTCACAGTTATAATATAAATGCCCACATAGAGTAGAGTTCAGTAAATTATGTATTTAATAGATAATAAAAAATGTAGCAATAAGGTAATACTTTTTGTTCATTCCCCCATGTCTGTATTTGTATTAGAATAAGGCTAGAAAGATGTTAACCGTTTATACAAATAACTTTCATTTTTAAAAATCTATGATTTTTCTCTTATTTTTCTATCTTCTTTTCTATACTAGTTTATCTACATATATTGTTTAACAAAACAATAAAGGGAGAAATATTTCATAATTAGATATTTAAAATGCAAAATATAAAGACATTTGGATCCCTTTACTCTGCCCCCTTTTTTTGCCCCCTACTCTTTGTTTTTAAAGTATTTAAATCACTTTTAATTGATATACTTTGTTATTTATAATCTTTAACGACAGTTGAGATTTTACAATGTGGTTATAGTCTTTGATGTTTAAAAGTATTACACTGACATTTTTAGTATTGTCCTGTAATATTTACTCCTGATTCCAAAATTATACTAACATTTCTTCTTTAATATTTTAAAATTGTTCCTTCCTTCTTTATGCTGTGTATCTCCATAGCATTGTTGCTGGTCACTGATAACATGGCATCTTTATTCTTCCAGGAAAATGGTATATATACAATAGCAAAATTAATTTTACGAAATAAACAAAAGAATGCAGCAAAAACTAATCTATTACAGGTAATAAACATATCCATTATTCTTTAATATCAAGTTACTGGAATCTGGGGAAATTTTGGTAATATAATCTATGAATTTGAGAATTTTTAGGTTAGCACTGGTCCCCTGTACTGACCGAGAGGGAAGAATATCTGGTGAGGGAGGCTGGCATGGAAACAAATGCTGTCAAAACAACGTAGAGGGGCTTCCCTGGTGGCGCAGTGGTTGAGAGTCTGCCTGCCGATGCAGGGGACACAGGTTCATGCCCCGGTCCGGGAAGATCCCACATGCCGCGGAGCGGCTAGGCCCGTGAGCCATGGCCGCTGAGCCTGCGTATCTGGAGCCTGTGCTCCGCAACAGGAGAGGCCACAACAGTGAGGGGCCCGCATACCGCAAAAACAAAACAAAACAAAACAAAAAAACCCCAAAAACCAATGTAGAAGGCTTAACAGTAGTTTCTCTGTAGGAATTTAGGTGATTTTATGTAGACATTTATTTGCTTATCTGTAAGTTCTATGTTTTAAAAACATTGCTTGTGTATCAAAATAATACTACGGGGAAAATTATGTGCCATCTTTAAGCACGGACCACAGTCAGTAGCATTTCACCTTTACAAAGGCAAACCTGTAAAATGGATCTTGATGGATGAGCTGGTGCTGGTCAGGTGAGTAAAGGGATAGAAGTGGGCACCCATGATATCTGCTCCAGGGCGGACGGGCATCCACACAGAGAGGAGAGCGTGGACAAAGGACGGGAGCCTGGCAGCTTAGAGTGTGCTTAGGCTGCTCAGTGGTGTGGGTGTGGGGTGTGGGGCAGAGGGAGTACCTTAGGACAGCGGTCCCCAACCTTTCTGGCACCAGAGACTGGTTTTGTGGAAGACACGTTTTCCATGGACGGGAGCGGGGATGGGGGCAGAATTCAGGCAGTAATGGGAGCTATGGGGAGCGATGGGGAGTGGCAGATGAAGCTTTGCTCGCTCACCTGCTGCTCACCTCCTGCTGTGCGGTCCAGTTCCTAACAGGCCACGGACCAGTACTGGTCCATGGTCCAGGTGTTGGGGACCCCTACCTTAGGAGATGAGGCCTGGAAGGTAAGAAGGGGCCACATTATGCAGGGTCCTATGTGCTTTTTTGAGGAGTGGACACCAGGGGGCAAGTGTCCCCAAAGACATTGGCATGATAAAATCAATTTAAAGTAAGCCTTTGCAGTAGCTGCAGCTTATCTTTTTTTCAAGTCGTTAGAACAGGAAGTAAAAAACAACGTTTGCCTTCAATCTGATTTAAGAGCTTTCAGCCAGAATGATGGTCAAACCTAGCAGAGAATTTTTGGTGGTATCTGTGGGCTGGCAGGCAGAGATTTTGGAGAGCTACCACTGAGAACACACAGGCGTGGGACTTACTTCTCTAGTACAGCACTGATGCATGACACTGTGCCGGACCATGGTAAAGTACACTCCCTCCTGCACGTGTATTCTGTTAAGCCAGTAGAGGCTTTTAAAGAATATGTATGGAAATTCTTTCGAGGCACATGCATGTTCCTCACTTCTCACAGTCTCCACTGCTTTCTCACCAGTCTCCTTCATGTGGTCTTGTTATCTGCCTGGCTTCTCCAGACAGTTTTGTTTGTGACCCTTCTATATTCAGATCACTAATTTCATGAAATGATTCCAGATTCGAATTCAGCAGACCCTGGTCACCCCAGTGGTGGCCTATTGTACAGGTACAGCTGCAAGCCTGGGGCTCTCTCTTTTTTCTCAGCACTGCAAAATGTCCAGTGTTTATTTTTCTTTGTTAAAGTCTCACAGGCCTCTTTCTGAGTGTTCTCAGGAGTTACTGTAGATGGTTCTATCTGGGGAATGCTTTAGACCTTACTCAAGAGACCAATTTGTCAAGTTTGAGTCCAGTGTGCCTGTGGCTATTTTTACATGTCATTATTTCTAGTGTTTATTTTCTCAGAGAAACTATATAAATATTGAGGCATACATAGCAGGCTAGAAAGAAAATAAACCTTGAGCTCCTGGAAATCTTGGGACATTTGGTTTTCTCGGCGTAGGAGTTTTATTTCTTGTCTCTCTGCTCCTTCTGTACTTTCTAGAAAGGAACTAATGACAGGCACTGAGTGAAACAAGGCCCAGATCCCTAGCCTTCCACAACGCAAATACTTTTTAAACATGAGAACTGGCCCAGGTGTTGATGTTGTCTGTTTTCAGTTACAAGCTGTGGCTCCCACAGAGACCAGCCACACTCGCCAAAAAGCCACGTTAATGTTCACTTCATGATCATGCTATCCTGAAAATGTTTTACTTTGTTCAGCTACCATTTGAGAATCATATATCCTTTTATTTCCAGTGTTATGCATTCAGAGCCTTGAGGTTTCTCTTCAGTATGGAAAGAAACAGACCACTCTTTAAAAGGTATGAGCTTAGAGAAATTTAAGTGATCAGTGATCATTAGAGTCAACTGTTTTCATGTACCTGATTTAGATGCAAACAGTAAGAGAATAAAGAGTCAGTATGCAAAACATGTGCCTTCAGATTTCTTAAAATCCACAGATAATACTGAGCAGCCCTAGTGATATCTTAACACTGAAAATTCACAAAATGATGAGGAAAGCACATGAATCACATCAGCACAACTCTTTTAATTATATGTAACTGCTATGGTTTTTAGTTTTTCTCTCTTTTTTAAGACATTAACATTTTTAATGGATGAAATAAAAATATGTGCTTGTTTTTGCCCATTCAGAAATGTCCAAAGTTGATCTAGTCATTTCCTTTTAATCAATAGAAAAGAAAGTATTTGTCTGGATGTCCTTAACAGTATAGGAACCCATCTGAAGGGGAGGAGGCTGGATGTTCCTGGATCAGAAGGTTGTGTGGTGAGCATGACAGAAAAACCACCACCTTGGGAAGCAGACCGTGGTTACCTACAGGTGTGGTCTGCGTGCCATAGAGGTGGCAGGTTAGCCAAATCGTAGGCCCCAAGTTCTTACTAGAATTTTATTGATAAGGCAAAATGGAAATAAAATCTTGAGTTAATATAACATCTTTTGTTTGGAAGAATGGGGCATTTTATGTTTTTATTTTATTTCTATATAACAGTTGAATTTAGGGGAAGAAAAGGAAGTATTCGTTATTCATTATAACCTTTCATTTCAAGGCCCTAAATCATCCACATCGGTGGACTTAAAGATTTTAATAAACCTAAACCCTTGAAACCAGTAGCTTGGAAATGATGCATAAATCTCCTCATTTTTTTATTCACCTGTATTTTAATTTTATTTTCATGAGGACTAAATCAAATTGTATTTGTGAAAGTGCTCTGTGCTCAATAAACACCCAATAAACATTCATTCCTAGTATATTTAATACTACACCCCCAAATGTCTTACAAATAAGATTTTTGTAAAATCTGTATCATATCTTATTGTAGCAAAAAACATATAACATGACATCTACCCTCTTAAATTTTTGTGTGCAGTACAGTGTTCTTAACTATAAGCACAGTGTCATACAGTAGATCTCTGGAACTTTCCTTTCCAATTGTTTTTCCTTACCTCTTAAGAACTGTGTCTCTAGTTTATTTTCATGAGATAAGTTGGTGAGTATTATTTCCCCCATTTGTTGGCAGTGTATTTAATGTAATTAACCTATAAGTGAGCCAGGTCCAAAAGGGAAGGAATGGGCCAGAGTTTCCAACTCCTATAGGAAGTATGTGTGTGTATTTTTCTCTGTAGACTTTTCCCCACCGACTTGTTTGAGATCTTCATTGACATAGGACATTATGTTCGTGATATCAGTGCTTATGAAGAATTAGTATCAAAGTTGAATTTATTAGTGGTAAGTCTTGAGCTTTAAATATTTTGTCAGGCTGCTATGCAGTTAGGATGCACTTATCATAGCAACCCATTTCCTTTTCATTTTTTGGTTAGGAGGATGAACTGAAGCAAATTGCTGAAAATATTGAAAGCGTTAATCAGAATAAAGCTCCTTCGAAATATATAGGCAACTATGCAGTTTTGGATCATCTTGGAAGTGGAGCTTTTGGCTGTGTTTACAAGGTGACCTTGCCCTTGAACAACATTTCCAATGTTCCCAAACAAACTGCATGTCTCCCTGCACACCCACACACAAGTGAATTGGAGCCCTTGTCAGTGAACAAATAGATATAAAAATTAGAATGGTTGTTTCTGTACAACAGATAGCCGCACTGATGTTGTCTTACCTTAGCTCTCAGCTCTAGAAATTGGTCACTGACCTTTGAAGACAAAAGCTGTCACTAATCTCTCATACAAATAGTCAAAATGGCTTGTCCCAATGCATGACACATTCTCCAAGTTCACACCAGTGTTTCTGTATTTACCAAGTAAAATCCTATGAAATATTGCAGGCTGATCCAGGATATACCAATTTTTTTGAGGTGAGCTTAGTGTAAATACAAATTTACTTTTTAAAGATATATGACTTATTTAGATGACTTGGCTTAATCATGTGACCTTATTAATCTAATCACTTTCTTCCCCTCTCTACTCCCAAACCATTCTTTTTTTTTTTTTGTCTCCTTTATTTTAGGTTAGAAAGCATAGTGGTCAAAATCTTTTAGCAATGAAAGAAGTCAATTTACATAACCCAGCATTTGGAAAGGATAAAAAAGATCGAGACAGCAGTGTAAGGAATATTGTTTCTGAATTAACCATAATTAAAGAGCAGGTAAATGCTTTTGTTTATGAAGACGGTTTCCTTAAAAAATGTCATCAAAAAAAGTAGAATTCATGTGCTGTCCTTGTCCGTGCTGTGTAAGAACTGGTTCTGCTTAATATAATTGGCATTGAGGTGATATCAATCACCAGGTTTTCTCCTAAGGCTTGACATTGAACCATAGACATAACTGTATCAGGGCCAGGGATGCAGAACAATTGAGTTCACAGCACAGAGAGTATTATATATGAGAAAGCATATTCGTTTCCTTCTTATTATATTGTAGAATATTTGGTTACTTTGTTACATGCATAAGAATATGACTAAGGCTTCCCTGACTTTTGTCAAATGGAACCAAGTTGTTAACGTTCCTCAGATATGGCTTATGTAATCTAAAATGTGAATTTTCAAGATGGGTTATTATTTATTGACATGAGCAAAACATTCTAACATAATGTTCACAACTCATGTATCATTATGAAGGTTTGTTTCAGGAAAAAGAATAAACGTGTCAGAGAGAAATAGGAATTCTTTTTGTGATCAAAGAACACATTGGTTTTTTTTCAACTTTCTTTATTTATACATTCATTATGAATACTGTTTGTCTGTAACTCCTGGGGAGACCAATCAGTTCATGGCTCTTTGTTTTCAAATAGTTAAATTTGCATAGCATCTGTGCTAGGACATAAAGAACCATAAATATGAAGATCTTTTTTCATTGAAATCTCTAGTTCCACTCCAATTTATAATTTACAGTAAATATCATTAATAGGTTGTTTTATAGTTGACTTTTATGTACAAAGAGATTAGATTTTGAAAAGTTAGTGTTTGCTCATATTCCAACACTCTAGCCTTGGGTGGTGTGCTGTTTCATAGCACAAGGCTAGAGCATGACTTTTGCCCTAGGCTGGTCTAATATCTTCATTTGAACCCAAATCTGGATGTAGTCCTGGCCAGTGAGCTAGGTCTAGAATACGGTTCTATTGCTTACCTAGTTCCATATTGTTTAAAATCTGCTGGCCATTTGCTAGTTGATGAGGTAGACTATTGGTTTTAGTATATTTTCTAAGAAAAGAAAGCGTCAGGGTGGGGCCATATAAGAGGCCTCTGCTTGAACTTTGAGGGAGCTCAAAATTGTAGAACTGTGCTTGCACCACGGGCTTAAACCAATGAAAGGACAGTAAATTGAGGTCAAAAAGGAGGAGGTAATGGCAGACAGAAGTGAGAGAAATGGGACTAGAAAGGGAGAGTGTATTTGTTAATATTAAGATTAAGCTGCAGTAACAAAGAAGCCCCAAAGTGCATGGGCTTGAAGGAGAGGTCTCACCGTGCAATGGGTTTTGTCTTCCTGTCAGTCCAGGGTGTGGTGCTCTGCTCCATAAGGTCACACGGGGATGCCCACTCTTCCTCTCCCGTTGCACCTGCCAAGGCACATTTATATCTGCTGGTGCACCCGGCGTTTTGGGTTCAGACATAGGATTCCCCTCACACTCCACTGGGGAGAACTCAGGGATGAGCCCCTTGAGGCTGTGAGAGAGGCTGAGAGGTGTGATCTGTGGTGGGGAAGCACATCCTGCTACAAGTCGGTGGAGTGGAGGAGTGTGAGAGCAGATTTTTGGTGGACAACCAGTAGACTCTCCTTCAAAAGAAGAAAGGCCAGAAAGAGATGCAAGCCATTTATGATGTACCAGTGACTATTCTGAGATAAAACAAATTTCAGTTTACTTAGAAACTCAAATTGTAAATAAACAACCACAAAAATTTAGTATTCTTGTAGAAAATTATTATGTTATTAGATGTTATTATGTTATTAGAAGATGTGGCACATATATACAATGGAATATTACTCAGCCATAAAAAGAAATGAAATTGAGCTATTTGTAATGAGGTGGATAGACCTAGAGTCTGTCATACAGAGTGAAGTAAGTCAGAAAGAGAAAGACAAATACCGTGTGCTAACACATATATATGGAATTTAAGAAAAAAAAAATTTCATGAAGAACCTAGGGGTAAGACGGGAATAAAGACACAGACCTACTAGAGAATGGACTTGAGGACATGGGGAGGGGGAAGGGTAAGCTGTGACAAAGCGAGAGAGTGGCATGGACATATATACACTACCAATCGTAAGGTAGATAGCTAGTGGGAAGCAGCCGCATAGCACAGGGAGATCAGCTCGGTGCTTTGTGACCGCCTGGAGGGGTGGGATAGGGATGGTGGGAGGGAGGGAGATGCAAGAGGGAAGAGATATGGGAAAACATGTATATGTATATGTATAACTGATTCACTTTGTTATAAAGCAGAAACTAACACACCATTGTAAAGCAATTATACTCCAATAAAAATGTAAAAAAAACCCCAACACACTACAAAATAACACATTGCTCAAAGAAAAAGTCTCATATAAATTGGAAATTTTTTTGAACTAAATGAAAATACAACTTATAAAAATCTGTGGGCTGCAATGAAAGCACTGTTTAGAAAGATACATATACACATATATATATATATAAAATATTAAATGTATGTATTAAAAGACAGAAATATCTAAACTCCATATTCTAAGTTTCCATCTTAAAGAAAAAAGAGCAATTCAAGCCTTAAACAAACAGAAGAAATAAAAGTAAAACAGAAATTAATGAAATAAAAAACAAGAATTCCATATAAAAAAATCAACAATATTAAAAGTTTATTCTTTAAAAGACCAGTAAAGTTGATAAATGTCTAGCCAGACTAATCTTGGAAAAAAAAGAAAGACAGACACAGATGACCAATATCAGAAATGAAAAAGGGGTCATCCTTACTGATCACATGAACATTAAAATGATAAAAAAAAAAATACTGCATAAAACTCTATAGCCACAGATCTGACCATGTAGGAGAAATGGATCAATTTCTTAAAACACACAAACTACCAGAACTCATACAAGGAGAAATAAGATAATCTGAATAGGAATACATCTATTAAAGAAATTCCATCAAAAAAAAATAGAATTTCCATGTTACATTCTGAGGTAAACTATGCCAAAGAGAAATTGTTGCTCTCTTTGGTGCCTGGACACTTTTTGTTGAAGTATAATTGACATATGACTGCATATTAGTTTCAGGTGTACAACATGATGATTCAGTATTTGTATGTATTGTGACATGATCACCATAGTAAGTCCAGTTAACATCTACCACACGTAGTTACACATTTTTTCCTTGTGATAAGAACTTTTAGATGGCAAGGAAGACCTTATTCAGGACCACTGCAATAGAAGTCCAACTATTAGAGTAGAGGAGAGAGATTGAACTCAACTCTGAACACAACAGGGATGGCTGGGGATTTACAACCAAAAGGCAGGGCTGGGGGGGTCAAAGGATGGAAAGTTACTAAGAGGAATTTGGTTAGTTATCAGGTTGGGGGAAGAAAAACTTGATTAGGTAACAAAGATGGGGGGATGAGGAACTTGATTGGATATCCGGAGGGCAGAGATGCTCACTAAACTGGCTTAGCAGGATTCTTGCTGAAACCAGGCAGGCCAAGGAGGAGGCCTGGTCCAGAGGAGGACTCTGAGGAGCCTGACCTAATTTTGTTCAAGGATGGAGTCCTTGGCAATTATTATTATTATTTTAATGGAGTTAATAACTCTTAGGTTATTTCAGTTTCAAACTAATAATTTTGGAGAGCATAGAAAGACACCAGTCATGTAAATAGACACAGTGTATATAAACATTTAAGTGGCAGGGGGAGGTTAAGAGCATAGTATATGTGTTCAAAATTAATTGTTTCATTTCAGTTTTCTCCTCTATGCAATCTGTGTGTGATGTTGGGACAGGAAGTGTTAAATGAGTTCTTAAGATAGCTTCCAGTTCTACAGTCCTCTAATTTAGTTAAATTAGGTGATAAAGAACAATCAGTTTTCAATTCTATTTGGTAAGGCTATATGGGAGATTGCTATTTTCAGAACAGTTTTGTTAGCAGCAAATAAAAAGAATCCTGAAAAATTAGATGATATCTTGAAATGCTTTGTTTTATAAATAAATATAAATATGATGATTTCTTTTTTGTTTTCAAGTATGAAATCCAACTAAATTGTCTGTGAAAACAAGTTTATATTTTGAAGTAGTATAATGTTTGTTATTTATTTTCTTATAGCTTTATCATCCCAATGTTGTACGCTATTACAAAACATTTCTGGAAAGTAAGTGTGAGTTTCCATGATATTTCTAATAATGTATCTATGTTACTTACATATTTTTATTTTAGAATGTTACAAAATAAGCTTAGTCGACTATTTTCTCTACCTTTTTTGTTGTCTGTATGACCTTGGATGACATTTCTTGATCAGTGAGACACTGATAATCAATGATCAAAAGATACTTATAAAATTCTTAGATCCCTATATGTAAGACTGCATGAACAAACCAAAATAATAATTATTGCTATTTTCATATACAAAAAGCCCATAGTAGGATCAGGAGAAAAGAAAACTAAAGGTTGGTAGCTTCTTTAAGAAAGAATGACATTTTTTTGTCATCTTTTAGAAAAAATGACATTTTCCACCCCCCAAATAAATTGGATCTAGGTTTTTTGAGATTTCTTTTTCTTCAAGTTCAGGTAATTGCCACAAGGTGGCAATGGAGCCCTGACTGATTCTGCATCATCATTCAGATGATGGAATATGGAATCAAATCTTGAGATGAAACCAAACTCAGTCACTTGTTTTAAAAAAATAGGACATTTGACTGAAGTAATATACATATTAATAGACCTTATATGCTTCACCTGTGAAATTTCAAAATAAATCTTTAAAGGGGCTTCCTTGCTGCCTCTTTATCAGTGCTATTGTTATGCAAACCTGTTGTGTACTTTGCCATGTTATGATTTTACCCATCTCCCTTCCTCTGGTTGACTCAGAGGAACTCAGTGCTGAAACTCCTCAGTACATCCTGCCCCCTTGGCCATTTGTTCTTGATATTAGAATAATTTCCCATAATTTAGTGCATAGCCCATCATAAAGAGATCTAGACTAGCTTCTGACTTGTACTGAAGTGACATAACTTGTCTTAATTTAAAAACAAAATAACCTGACTTCTTCCAAAAAGAATTGGCAGTGGCTTAAAAATACATAAGATAGGGCTTCCCTCGTGGCGCAGTGGTTGAGAGTCCGCCTGCCGATGCAGGGGACACGGGTTCGTGCCCCGATCCGGGAAGATCCCACGTGCCGCGGAGCGGCTGGGCCCGTGGGCCATGGCCGCTGAGCCTGCGCGTCCGGAGCCTGTGCTCCGCAACAGGAGAGGCCACAACAGTGAGAGGCCCGCGTACCGCAAAAAAAAAACAAAAAAAAAAACCATAAGATAAAATAGATTAAGAAATCATGATAAAAGGAAATAAAAGGTGAGAAAATTAATGTTAGGGGCAAGATTAGTACATACAGTAAATATTTCTTGGGATTATGAAGAATTGGAAACAATATAAATGTCAATCTTTAGGAGAATGATTAAATAAATTATGATACATCTGTATTGTGGAATACTATGTAACCAACAGAAAGAATGGTGTGGGTCTGTGTGTACTGACGAACATATAAGAATGTTGAATGAAAAAAGTATAAGTTGCAGAATATGTATGGTGTGGCTTCATTTTTGTAAATGTTGTATATATACATATTTTACATACATCCAAAACATTACAAAAGATACATATCACATACTGTTGTTAATAGTTACATATTGACTTTGGAGGAGAAAGTAGAATTTACTTCTGTTTCTTGGCATCCAAAGCAAAAAGACAAACCCAGTCAGTTATGTGAGGTTCCTGGGATCCATGAGCTGAAATCTGGAGGAGGCCAGCTTTCTCAGCTCTTGAGCTGGCATCACAGAAATTTCCATCATGGGTGGTATATCCAGTGGGGTCATTGCTAAACCACGGTATGATTTCATTGTAAAATACTGTAAGGTAAATCTACGAGACTGAAGAACAGTGCAGTTTAATGTCTGAATGTCTGGCTTGATTTAAGGGTAAATTTTAGACCATTGAGAGGAAAGCTGGGTTTACCTGTTCTTCAGGGAATCCTCCATGATTTGGGATCATTTACTTGCTCTCTTTGGTGCCTCTCAACCCTTCCACATCCTGGTGTACATAGAAAATGATAAAGTTTGCCAGCGTAAACTTATGCTAGGAGGTTGCCTGTAGCTGAAAGAGACTGTTGCTGGGCTCCGGTTGTCCCCAAGACCCCCTCGCCCCCAGCCCCTCCAGAGCTGATTGGGTCCATGTCTCTAACTCTTTTGTGTTGTGCCCTGAACACCCATTGGGAAACTTGGATTCTAGTTCATAAGTTTTTTCAAAATGTCTATATTGAATTTATTTCTATTACCTTTTCTTGTTTTTTATATAGATGATAGGTTGTATATAGTTATGGAGCTTATAGAAGGGGCCCCTCTTGGAGAGCATTTCAGTTCTTTGAAGGAAAAACAACATCATTTTGCTGAAGAGAGACTATGGAAAATATTTATACAGGTATCTTTTATCTTCATTAACTTTTTCTATGAAACAGTAAACTTCTGAGCTGATTTCCTAGAATTGTGTGTAGTGATCATGAGTGGCTGTCTTATCTGTATATATAGGGGAAATAACATTTGTTTGTTCTTTGCTGTTTGAAGCTGTGCCTAGCTCTTCGGTACTTACACAAGGAGAAGAGGATCATCCATAGAGACCTGACGCCAAACAACATTATGTTGGGGGATAAGGACAGAGTAACAGTTAGTAAGTATAAAAATCTGAAAATTTTCAACTTGAGAGTCTCTGAATATTATTCTAGGGCAGAGTTGTTCGATAGAACTTTCTGCACTGAATGGCATGTTCTCTGTCTGCACTGTCTGGTATGGCAGCCACTGGCCACATGTGGCTATCAGGCACTTGAAATGTGTCTGATAGCCTATGTGCCTGAGGATATGAATTTTAAATTCTATCAAATTTTAGTTAATTTAAATATCCCTATGTGACTATGGATACTGTATTGGACAGTGACTAGTGTAGTTCTTGATGACTGAGTTGTATTTTGCCTATATGAGAGAATAAAATACTCTTAGATTGCTTGGGCATTTAATTCCTAAATCAATGGTTTCTAGGTTTTTTCCTTTCTGTAGAACACTTCTTCATCAACAAAGCCTTTTAGAACCACCACATGAGCACATTGTTGAACTATTTTAATATAGTCTGTGACATATGGGTGACAAATGTACATATCAAGGGCTGTAAAAAATCCAGCCATTTGTATACTTCAACATTTTCACTTTTTATCACAATATTTTCAACTGTAGCAGGTAAGTTGTCTAATTCTTAATCATAAGTTAAATGAACTTTTTAGCTTAGAGCGATATATTAGCTTTCTCCTGCCCTCTTCACTCACGAACACTTAAGTTACTCCCATGGACTATTAATGGTTTGCCAACTGTAAGTAGGGAGACATCTCTAAATCAGTGGTCTGCAAATATTTGTGATCATGAAATTCCATTAGTAAATTCTTTTGATAATACACTCTAGTATATCAATATGTATGCTTATTTATGAATTCTGTACACATATCACTGTATAATTATTCTATGGTACATACAGTCAACAGAAATAAACTATAAAGGGGTACATTAAAATTCAAAATAGGGGTGTTGATATTTTTCACCCCACCCCCACCCGCCAGTGGATTGCCTTAGGCACCCAGCTTTGGAGGCCACTGCCCTAAATTTTATTGATGTGAAAGACATTTGACAACATTTTAAAGCTGAGTCTCTTAGTTTGGGAAGAATCTGATTCCTCATGAAGGCAATTCCAAATGTACACATTTACCCATAACCACATCCTCAGTAACAACGATTAGATTCACTGTCCAGATTTTTTAGAGTAGAACATGTTATATCAGTTTAAAAAATAAAAAATATCCTAAAACAGAAGTTTTATTGATAACCTTCAATGCAAAGTTACTTGGAAATATTTCAAGCCAGTGCTTTGTGAAATGTGAGATGAGACCAAATAATTGTGACTCTTCATCTCAGATACACATTTGCTTAATCATTAGAAGTTAATCATAATTTTGTTCATCATAAGCTTTTTACTTTTTATAAATTACACTTGTGTTTCCTTAATACTATTTATATGCTTGTAGATATTTTAATTTATAAGTTAATAAGGATTATTATAAATTGTGTGTTTGAATTTCATAGCAAACAGTATATATAATTTTAAATAGTATTAAATAGATTTGTTTAATAGTTTAATAGATCTGTTTAATCCTTCTAAGATGACTATTCAGGTCATATTTTCTGAGTAATAGCCAACCCCACATTCCATTTTCTTACTAAGATTAGCTGCAGTCATTTCCTTTGGTTACATTTAAATACATTGAGATTAATCTTTTATTGTAGTAGCCTGATTTATTTTCTTTCTAAACTTATTTTAAGTAATTTTTATATTTATTTTCTTTAACCAGTAGCACACATAAAAATGGCTTACAAAATAAAATAGTGCTAAAAATCTTATAAAGAAAAGCCTACCTCTTTGCAACCCCCAGTTCCATTTCCCTAAAACAATCACTTTTCAGTCTTTTTAGCTCTTTCTTCTGGTATCTGGCTTTCCATTGTGATAGTTGAAGATTCAATTTTCTTATTTTTTCTTTGTCCCCATCTGCCATCCTGCAATACACTTATAGCACAATTTGGGGTTAAATCAGCATTCAGTATTTACATTATTACTACTGTGTAATTATTGTTCAATGTTGATTACCTCTCCTTCCTTATAGACCTTTTGTTTTTTCTAGAGTTAATAATTGCCTTCTTGTTTATTTTCCTAGTTTTCTGTGTACCTTTTATTTCTTCTTCCCAAATCTTCTAAAAGGATTATAAAAGCCCTCTCTGTACTGTTTCCACATGATCAAACATGACAGTTACTCTCAGTTTTTTTTTTCCTGGACACCCATTTCCTACACCTCTTTGCTGTAATGTAGACCGGGTTTGACTTTAGGTCTGCTGCACAGCCATTGTCCTGGAACTTTCGTGCTCCTTTTTTTTTTTTTTAATTTGGCCACACTGTGTGGCTTGTGGGATCTCAGTTCCCTGACCAGGGATTGAACCTGGGCTACCGCAGTGAAAGCACTAAATCCTAACCACTAGACCACCAGGGAATTCCCATGCTCCTTTTCTGATCAGAGTCTCTATTTCCTACATCCTGTCTCTTTCTCTTTCTTTTTTAACTCCCCTATTTTGCCAAAGTGTATCTTCTAGTACTTTCCTAGGAAAAAGTGCTTTGGAAGTTATAATTTTTACTTTAAAAAATTTTCTTATTTAGAAATTTTTGAAGTATAAGTGACATATAACATTATATTAGTTTCAGGTGAACAGCATAATGATTTGATATTTGTATACACACTGGAGCCTGCAAGCAGTTGGGTGGAGCTGGGTCTTGGTATCTAGATGGAGACCTCCAGGAGAGCTCATGTCAATTAATATTCCCTGGGGCCTGGAATTCTCTGGTGGTCCAGTGTCCTGGACTCCCACCCCAGAGGCTCAGGCCTGACCCATGGCCAGGGAACCAAGACCCCACAGGGCAAGTGGCACAGCAAAAAAAAAAAAAAAGGAGGGCTTCCCTGGTGGCACAGTGGTTGAGAGTACACCTGCTGATGCAGGGGACATGGGTTCGTGCCCCGGTCCGGGAAGATCCCACATGCCGCAGAGCAGCTGGGTCCGTGAGCTATGGCTGCTGAGCTTGCGCGTCCAGAGCCTGTGGTCCGCAACGGGAGAGGCCACAACAGTGAGAGGCCCGTGTACCGCAAAAAAAAAAAAGAAGAAGAAAAAAAAAAGGAAAAGAAGACAGACAAACAAAACACAAGACAAATGATAAAAACAAAGAGGAAAAAAAAAAGAAAACTAAAATCAAGAAAACAACCAAACAAACAAAACAACCCCAAAGTGAAAATGAACAATAAAAACAAAACTAACAAAAACAAAAAGCAAAACAAAAGCAGAAAGCAAACTAAAAAAAAAAAGCAAAGAAAATGTAAAACACAAAAATGATCAAAAATGTTTATATCTAAAAACAAAACAAAAACAAGAAAAAAAACACAAAATAACAAAAAGTAAAGTAAAAGTAGAAAAATAAAAAATATATTAAAAAATGTTTATAAAGAAAAAATAAAAACAATAACAACAACAGAACAAAACAAAAAATAACAGTAATAATAATATTTTCCTGGGGCCTCAGCTGTTAGTGTCCTTGCCCCCACCATGAGCCACAGCCAACCCCACCTCCCCAGGAGGCCTTCCAATACCTCTAGGTAGGTCTCTGGACCCGCTATGGGCACTGTGGGGCCAGCTCAGCCTCTGACTTGGCCCGACTCCTATGTGTACTTGCCCCCAAAGTCCACAGCTGCTAGAGCTAGACTGGTCTCAGTTGTGGGAGCACTCATTGTCCCTTAGACATTCCATAGACACAGGGTTTACCAAGCTGATCATGGGGATTTAATCCACAGCTTGTGCAGCTGCACAGAGAGATTTCCATTCCTCTTCCTTATTCGCACCGCCCCTGGGGCTCAGCTTTGGTGTTGGCCTCACCTCTGCATGTGGGCTGCCCTCAGGCGTCTGTTCCCTGCCCAGGCAAGAGAGAATGAAAGCAGCAGCTGCTTGGAGCACACTTGCTCACTCAGGCCAGGGAGGAATAAGGCTGCCACAACTGGAGTGTGTGAGAAGTGCCTCCATTGGTTTTTTTTGGGGGGGTTGTTTGTTTGGTTTTTACCGTCCACATATAAGTGAGATTATGCAGTATATCTTTGACTTATTTCACTTAGTATAATGCCTTCAGGGTCCATCCATGTTACTGCAAGTGGCAAGATTTCATTCTTTTTTATGGCTGAATCATATATGTATGTATGTATGTGTATACATGTATATATATGTGTGTATAATGCATATATACATATGAATAAATATATGTAGATATAGATACATATATACACATACATTTCACATTTTTTTTTTCACTCATTTATGATAGCTCTTAGGTTGCTTCCATATCTTGGCTATTTTAAGTAATGCTGCAACTAACTCTTTTCAAATTAATATTTTTGTTTTCTTTGGATAAATACCCAGAAGTGGAATTGCTAGATCTATGATAGTTTTATTGTTAATATTTTTAGGAACCTCCATAGGTTTTCCAAGGTGGTTGTATGAATTTACATTCCTACCAACAGTGCACAAGGGTTCCCTTTCCTTCACATCCTCACCAATGCTTGTTTTTTTTTGTTTTTTGCCTTTTTGATGATAGCCATTCTAACAGGTGTGAAGTGATATATCTCATGTGGTTGTGATTCGTATTTCCTTGATGATTAGGAATATTGAACATCTTATCATGTACCTGTTGGCCATCGTATGTCTTCTTTGGGAAAATATCTATTCAGATCTGCCCATTTTTCAATCAGACTGTTTTTGGGATTTTTTTGTTTTTGCTACAGAGTTGTATGAGTTCTTTATATATTTTCAACATTGACCCTGTATTTGATGTGATTTGCAAATCTTTTCTCCCATTCAGTAGCTTGCCTTTTTATTTTGTTAATGGTTTTCTTTCCTGTGCAGAAGTTTGATGAAGTTTGATGAAGTCCCACTTGTGTATTTTTGCTTTAGTTGCTTTAGTTGCTTTGCTTTGGGTGTCAATTCTAAAAATCATTGCCAAGATCAATGTCAAGGAGCCTACGTTTTCTTCTAGGAGTTTTATGGTTTTGG